ATTATTGCAGATTCCAAAAGCCTGGAATCGTTGTTATTTATGATCTAAGTCAAGTTTAAGTCCTGGTTTGTACCAATTACCACAAGCCACTCTAGGTTTTCTCTCTTCATTTCACAAATATTTGCAAAATAATTCCTTCACACTTGAAAACAGAGAGGTTGTCTCACCAAAATGTGCTCTTCTTTTCTTCTTTAGTGGTAAACACAAAGGTCTAGGAAAATATTGTTTTGATATGAATCATCCAAAGAAGCCACATTTTCTTTCAGAAATTTCGGAGGCTAAATTAGAGTGTAAGTTATCACTCAGCAGTGAACGATAACAAGAGTTTTTCTATCTGCACTTTCAAAAAAGCCATTAGATCTTTTGCTCCTGGTGCTTATTCCTCGCATAGCACTCTAACAATCTGACAGTTTAACATAAACTTCTTATTAAATCCGTATGGTGCCCATGCTCAAAAAAAAAAAAAGTTAGAAGGTTGTATCCTGCTGCTTACTATGCTGCTGGAAGTCCAATTATGCTCTCCTGAAAATAAATGAAATTACCCTGGCTTTACACTGGAGAAAATGAGAGGAGAATCTGTCTCAGCACCTCCGCAGAGCTGCCATGTTATTTGAGATACCATCTCTATCCCTTGGAGATATTTAAGAGCGATGCATATATATCAGTTAAGCCCTGAATTTCTGGGCGTTTGAAGGGGTGGTGTAATGGAGGGGGCCTGCAAGAGGGGGCCACCTCAGCACCTGGAGCTCCTCTGAGCGCACCTTCCTCACTGGTGGCACATCCCTTGGTCTCGTGCTGCTCTGCGGCCTCTCACCAGTCAAATGCAGCCATGCCATGTCCCCGGGGCCATGGAGGCATTGGCCATGTGCTGCAAAATACAAAGCCTTGCGGTGGGAGAGCATGAGGCAAGAGACACATATGGGACACTCATGCTTGGAGAAGGTACTGGAGAAGGGATTGCTCAGTTTTTGGTAGTAAGGGAGACTAGCTGGATTTAAAAGGAGTCTGTTAAGGCCTGGTGAAGCAAATGATGTAAGACATGCTCCCATTAGAGCAAGTAAGGGGAAAAAAAAAAAAAAAAAGCCCCAAACTGCAATTAATCACACTACATCCCTGGGCTCTTAGGAAAAAAAAAAAGAGAGAGAAAAAAAGAAAAAGGAGTAGAAGATCCCATCCTCAAAGCAATTATAAAGGAACAAGGATTAACAAGGCCCTGAGCTCAGCACAAGGAAACGCTGTTGTGGGTTGTAACTATAGAGACAACACTGACACTTCCAGAGCCTTAAAAATAAGGACCTCTGGTTGTTCCTGTAAAGTGGGGTCTGAAGCTCTCATGATCCCTTGTGTTATCCTTGCCCCCAAAGATGAGACTAAATTGGGCACAGGCCCACAAGTAGCAGATAGAGCGGCCTTGTTCCATTAGGCTTCCTGTTCTCATGAGCTCAGCCTTCTTTTCTTCCCTTCCTTGAGTGAATGAATTTGAATGAAAAAAAAAGGAGAAGAAGTCAGCTTGAAACTTTTGAGTTTAATTTGGCTTTAGGTCAAAACCAGAAGGGGATGAATAATATTTTATTTAGTAGATACAAGCTTTTTCTCTCTCTTTTTTTTTTTTTTTACTTCTCCTTGGCAGAAGATTGATGGATCTTATCGAACAAGTCTTATGGCCTATCAAAAACCTTAAAAATATGTGTGGAATTTCTTAGGCTAGTTTAAAATGTCATTTTTTTTGTTCAAAAACCTCAAGTCTTACTTCAGAAGTACCTTTCATTGACTGAACTACGTTTCTTCACAATGAGAAAGTTAGACTTTAAACTTCTACCGAAGCCCAGTTACAGATTTTCCCCACATCAGCCCAGGTTCTGTACAAACACGGCAAACCTGATTAAATCAGTGCAGAGTTTGGAGGTTCTAATTGTTCCCTAAACCAAGACAGTGTTGAATTTCTAAGTTTTTTTCATGACTGCGCATATTTTGCATCCTTATAGACAAGAGAAAGGCGAATCTTTCCCACAACAATGGAGAATAAAACAGAGACGCAAACAAAACCTTCATTCAGATCAACCTTCCAGGAAACCAAGATGATTTCCACCATTTTTACGACTTTTCCCTAGAGGCAAAAGACATCTAATTAGCAAATCCCACTGCAAGTTTGCTCCGATTTGACACAAAGTGAATGTGACAAGCAAAGACATTATAAGCCTTACATTTCCAGTTAGCAAGCTTGGGCTGATAAAGTCAAGTTCAAATGCTTTTTTTGGATCTTAAAGCTTGCAGAGTAAAAATCCAGAGGGTGAGCTGGTTCAGCTAAAAATGTGAATTTATAGTGTTCCAGTCGGTGTTATCTGATGTCACAGCAGCTCTTTATGAATGTGCACTCACATTTCCACGTACAAAGCATTCCAGCCAGAACTGAGATGGTCCTTATAGTCCGCAATTATAATGATCTGAGGAGGAGTTGAATGATACCAACAGAATCAGACCTTGATTCCTCATGAAGAAATAGCGCATGAGTAAAATAAATATTAATTGTGAAGTTAATTAGTAAATGCTGGTAATTAATCATGCTTTACTGTTAATGATGTGTAGGAACCCTCAGAGGTGGGAGATGATCCTCCAGGAAAGAAAACTGTGCAGCATAAATAAGGTGATGTCCCCATTGCTAAAATCAGCGGAGTTGACCCATGAGGTGCTTTGACCTTTGTTGTCTTTATTGGAAGATAATATTAGCTGTGTCTTCTCCTACTCTGATTTAATATTCAGACTAGATGTATGGGGCAGTCTGACAAAGGAGTTCGTGAGTTCTTGCAGCTGTGCAGGCAGGTGCTAAAGATGTCCACAGAACTCATAAATATTGCCAGGTGAACAGTTATGTTCAAACCTTTCCAAAACTGCATTTACGGACCAACTGTATTTTTAAGTATCATTCCAGCAGCTACAGCATACTCTACTGAGAGAGACCTACCTGATTTTCTGAATTTCAGCAGAACTTTGGAACAACTGCTAAGGACCTCTAAAAATCCAGTGATCTCTCTAGAGCATAGTAAAAAACAGCATTCTTGCTACAAAAGCCCTGTAATCTGTCCTACAAAGCTTCTAAGCTTCTCAGCTCTGCTGTGGGTCAGGTAGCCACATCCTGCAGACATAATTGTGGAAAGTGGTCCGATAACAAGAAACTTTGGAAAGCTCCTTGCAGAAGCCTGTGACGATAGGCATAACTCCTTCTTTGGTGTAATATCTAAAGTTTGGCACTCAGCAAAGTACATTTAGGGCAAGTTCCCTAAGACAAAAGATCTTGTGGCTGCACAGGTGAGAGAACCCACTACACTTATGATAAATCTTGCAAGTCCTACTATGTCCATGTTGCCAAGTACCATCTTGTTGGCTTGCCTCTCTGAGCAGCAGCCCAGAAGGACACAGAGCAACGACCCAACATTGCCTCAAGCAGAGTTGCTCTCAGTGATTTTATTCCTTTCCAGAACGTGGCCTTGCAGAAAAATAGTAGTGTTTGCAAAAGTCCTGCTTGTCTCCCCTGTGCTGACAGATTGCTGGAAGCTTCATCATGGCTGAATGAAGGAACTGTTAAAATTCATCTGCCTGCCAGTCTATTAAGAGAATGGGGAAATGCGCCTAAGAAGAGAGCGCACAGTGGCCCAAGAAGGAGAGAAACAGCCAGCAGAGACCTCCCATAAAGCAGCAAAGCTGTGATTGTTTCCTGTTGCCGCTTGTTCTCCAGCATTTTCCAACAAAGCAACATCTCCCCACCCAAAGACGCCTAAAAGTTTCATCTGGTGCCTCTTGCTAAAGGATTTTCTGTTGGAGAAAGTCATTGTTACTTGGCCAGGGAATTTAAAAGAGTTAAAAGGAGAAAGGTGTCCATGCATGCAACTAGATTTACTTTTTTTTTAAAAAAAAAGTAATCAGACAATTCACCCAAACAAGTTTGTGAAGAAGTTCCATCTCTGAATGATTCATTCCCAATGCTGCTTCTCAGGGACTTTATGGAAGACTTAGGCTTTCACTTTTCAGTAGTATCTTATAGCTGTTTCTCACATCCACACATGATCTCCACACCTATACTGCCATTCCATACCCTCAAATGTGTTGAACCCAAGTCCCACCAAAACACCCCAGAGTGGCGTAAGCCTCCCAAGGTCAAATAAGTTTTACTTGTTGTGCAACTGGTTTCCAGTTTCTGGGGTACAGTGAGGTTACATATTTAAACTTTGATTGGCAGGTCTGAAACTTGGGATCCTGGTGCACAGTGACTTGGTATAGCAGAACTGAACTATAACAACCAATCGTGTCAGAGCCCTGCCTCATGATAACGCAGCAGGAGTTGGCCACGCCGTATATAATTGTACACATATCTGTGGCAACCTTCACCTTCATATCTAAGCATGTATTTTATCCACAGAATATTCCCAGAAGTGTGCTGGGTGCTTATAAAGCTCAGAGATAAGTCTTAGTTTTCCTTCGCCAAACAGATAACAAATGTGCAAACAGTATTTTTGTCATGTCAGTCAAAAGATATCTGAAACCAGAATTTTCTAACCCTGCCTCCCTGAGGAAAATGATGGCATAAAAATTAACATTACCTAAGATAACATAGGAATTCATTAAAATTTTGCCATTCAAAAGAGCTTAAATTTTTGTAAGCCAGAAAACTTAGAGAGGGCTCCAAAATAAGCTTGCATCTGCCCTACTAGCTCACCTTCCTGACAAGTATCTACATAATATATATCAGTGACATATTTGCTCCATTGCATTAAGAAAAAAAGTGTTATGAACACGTCTTTCTTGAATTTCTTATAGATGTGCATCCATGATATACCTGAATAGGTGCTAAATGTGCCATCAACAGCTCTGCTGAAGTATGTGCTGAGATGGTCATTATCTGCCACCAGTACACGTCTCCTGGCGGAATGAGGCCAGGCTGGGAAAGCCTTTTTAATACTCAGACCAGAATGATGCTGTAACAAATAAAGAGGAATTTTCCTTACCTGTCTATGCTGCTGAGAGACTGGATACTGCAAACCTGAGATTTGCTGGCTTTGCTGCATTTTCTGAAGCATCATTTTTTGCTGCATTGCTAGGGGTACGGTAGGTGGCCTTTGAAGAGACTGGTTCGCAAGAGGCTGAGCAGGTTGCGGCTGCGGCTGTTGTTGCTGTTGTTGCTGTTGCTGTTGCACAGGGGCTGAACCCTGTGCCTGCTGCGTGTAGTGCAGAAGGGCAGGCTTGTTTTGGGAACCCAAAACTGAAGGCATCTGCTGGTTTGTTTGCTCTGAGTTAAAGTGAAACAAAGGCTTTGTGTTGCCATGATGCTGCTCTAGTGGTGGCTGAGCGCTGTTGATAAAGTTTCTGTTGAGGTCCTGAGGCTTCTGTTGCATGATTATGTCCATGGCGTTGCTCTGGGGAGTGTTCGGTTTATAAACATAGTTGTTCATCCCTTTCGACTGGTTTCCATTCACTGGTACCCCAAGCATCGCTGAGCTTTGTGGGCTGAACTGCTGCTGGCGAAAAGAAGGACTGGGGATTTTCTCTTGCACAAAGGGTCCAGGGGAAGGTCCTGATGGAGACAAGGTGGACCAGCTGGCCGTCTGGTTCTGCTGCTGCTGTTGCTGCTGAATCAAGGCATGCTGCTGCCGGTTGGCTGCGATCTGTTTGAGCTGCTGTGCATGAGACACCTCCTGCCAGTTAGGCAATGGCCGACTGGACGCAGAAGAAACCTGCGATACCTGTGTTTGACTCTGAGGGACTGATGGGATGGGTGAAGAGGTGGACATGGCAGCGGTGGCCATAGTGAAGGCTGGACCTGTAGAAGAAGGCCTCATCTGTGGGGAGCCCACAGGAGCCTGATTCATGCCTGGTGCATATTCACTCTTTATCACCATCTTATCCATCTGCAGAGATCTCACAGGGCCTCTCTGGCTTTGCTGCCCAAGGTCAATGTTGAATGGCTCGTCTTGTTTTATCGTGGCATTTATCATATTCTCTAGCTCAAGATCACTCATTGGTGGCACTGATATGTTAGTCAGTTCATTAAATAGTTCCTGAAGCTCCAGATCCATCATTTGTTCCCATGAGTCTTCCCCATATCTGTTAGGGAACATGTTCTCATGGGATGTCTGGCCATCTAAGTGTTTGCTGCAGGACATCGTTTCTCCTGGTTCTTTCTTTACCTCTTTCAAAGTCATGTTAAACATGCCATTCCCGCTAGCATGTGTATTGTTTGCTAGGTTGCTGCCCTTTCTTTGTGATCCTTGCCCCACAGACATAGTTCCTGACATTGACTGGCTTTGGCAATTGTTAACATGTTGTCCACCTTGTCCCACTGAGATATTATCACCCACTCTTATCCTCTTAACATCAAGGAAAGAGCTGTCTGAAACACCATTGGGCCTCTTGCTGACAGGGGACAGATTTACCACCAACTTTCTCTTCAAGGAGCCTTGGAGCTGAAAGAAGCAGAGACAAAAAAAAATGATCATTAGATGACAGTGAAGAAACAATCTGTAGTCAATTTGACAGAAGGATCTTGCAGGTCAACAGGCAAGTAAGCTCTGCTTAGTACAGAAAGCTATTCTGGGCTTTCTCAGTCAATGACACTACACAGAACTGTAGGAAAATACATTGTAAATGAGACATCTCCCTGCCACCATCACCCCTGTCCTAGTAGCCACCAGCACTTTTTGGGCACTACTGCTTCCACAGACCCCCCTTTCCCCCATGGGTGTGAGTGGAGAGAGGTGGCCAGAGCCATAGCTGGCAAAACCTAGGACATATTTGCCACAGAATTGCTCCCATCCAACTGTGCTAGGCAGATCTAAAGTATTTTCAGACAGCAAAGAATAATGCAGTCATGAAATCTGCCCTTCTGCCTATCCAGTGCTGCAGGATTTCACTCTCATGATTTTGGTATATGATCCAAAAGAGCATTTTTGACTGCTGCAGAGTCCAAAGGTCCTAGGAGACATTCTAATGGCACACATGAGATCCAGGCATCCCGATCTCACGTGCGTTTATACTGGCCAGAGATAGGTACAATTAAAGATGTTAGAAGCTAACTTGTTCAAAACTGAAAATGAAGCCACTGGAGCCACGTCAGGTTATGTCAGCCAAGGGTCTGGTCCATAACGTACTGCTGGATTAGTTTCCAAAGAACTATATTAATACATTAAGACCTACTTGTTTATATCCTGAAACATCTGCTATAAAACACACAGTCCATGCAACACCGCTCTGAGAACTATAACTCTATTTCCTGTCCTTGAATATTTACAGTGACACTTTCATCTTCTCATGAGCCCTGTGGGCCTACCCAAGGCCCTGTCCACCTGATGTACACTCATCTGCTGTGGCTGTACACACAAATTCCTACCCTCTGCACACAAAACAAAGGTGTAGTCCCATGAACTGAAAAGTTTGGATTCGGTGCAGATGCCCTCAGGTAGGGTTGCTTTGAATTTCAAAAGCACGGTTCATAAAAGACTAGATCGCTTTTAAACAAGCACACCCGTCATATCTTTAGCTCTGTGCGTTAAAGACGCGCACACCGAGCAGCAGACAGCGTGAATGCGTGCGCAGGCAGCCCTCGCTCAGTCGGCACGGATGCTGTCTCTGGTTCAGCTGTGAGCAATGTCAGGGAAACGGCTCATCCTCTGCCTTTCTGTACCTGGGCAGAAGTGCACCGGCCTTGGAGACAACAAGACATCATCTGACAAATACCAGTGTTTACCAGTAAGAAACCGGCACTCATACAAACTGTGACACGTTGGGAGCCCGTGGTGGGCAGAGGGAACAGTGAGAACATTAATTTTCCAGTTAAGTGAGGAAGGATGATTTATGAGATCTTCAGATCATGCTGTTCCATGTACAGAGGTCCGTGAACACCTAATACTCTGTTGTGGCCCCTGTTTCACTCAACTTCAGGCTTGTCTATAGGTAAGAGCTCTTCCCAGATAACTTCACATGTGAACACTTTTTATTATGGAGTGAATACCAGAGAGTTGCTTGGGAAGAACTCAGCTGACAAATATATATTTCCTCTGTACCCACCTACCCTTCCGTTGCATCAGCAGGTCACTGAGTTTACTCCTTAAAAATAAAGCTTGTAATTTCTCTCTCTGACACTGAAAATCTCATCTCGTATCTCAAGTTGAGTTTCCAGCACATCTTTTGAATCACAGGTTAATGTTTTCATTTCATAAGGACAGACATTTTGGTGCCTGTTTGTACAAGTCCGCAGACCTTGTGCCTTCAACAGTAACTAATTGTCATTAGGTGTCCCCAGGGGGGGAGTTTTGGGTGGTCACTTGTAAAAAGCACGGACTGTCTTTGGTTAGCATGTTCTTTCTGACACATGAGTCACTGTACTTTCCTTTGCAAAAAAAACCAACACGGTGAGCTGCACTTCCTTTTACCATCATCTTTGCTGTCAGTGTGTTTATTAGAAATCGTTCTTGCGCCCCCAAATTCATCTTCCTGGGAAATGGGGAAGTCCCCAGGTCATCAGAATACATGACTTGGCAGCACATTTTGCTTTCAGATGCGCTGCTGACAGAAACACTGAACAGATAACAAATAATATACCCTCTACATGTGTGTATGCTTTATGTGGTTCGTATGCCTCTCTGAGTTAATTTTGCTTTTGCTTGACATTTTGAAGCAGGGGGAGCTGTTGAAAATGTCTTTGCATTTTCTAAGCACCTGCATCAGGCTTCCAGATACAACTAAAACCACAGGTGTTGCCCTGCACCGTGCGTAGAGGCTGCTTTTCTTCTGCGTTTGGACTAGCTGCGAGCAGATATGGGTGAGCTGTGAAGTGGTTTGCCCCATGACATGGACAAGTCAGCAGCAGAGCCAGGGAGAGCGCCACAGTCTCCAGACACATCCCTTAACTGAGCGATCCCTCCCTCAACACGGCCTAGAGGACTCCTGGTTTCACGACATCTGCTCTGCTAAAGTGCCCACCAAAAAGGGGCACTATGCATCTCTAAAGAAGAAGTAACAAGTGCTGGCTTATTACATCTCCCCAAAACCTTACAAGCACTGCCCTCTGAATGCTGACAGCACCTTGGTCAGTAGATGTCCCCACCTTAAAGTAGTAATGGGAGCGAATGAGACTGCAAAGGTGTGGGGGACTCTTGGGGGACTTCACTGAAGCTGCAGGAAAGGTCCTGATGTCACATCCCCCATGAGTCAGGGATGTGGAGAGCGAGGGCATGGGAAGGATGTGGCAGCCCACCGGGATGAAGACCCTTCTCCCTCCTTGCACCGAGCTGTTACCAATTAAGTGTCAGGGTGGTTCGTGAGGGACCGGTCTGTGTTTGTCCGGTGAGACGAGCAGTGTCCGTCACAAGCCTCTCTGTCTTGCTGTTTCATACGAACTCTGACTTCTACAGGGCACTGCTGCCCGAGCATTACGCCTGGTTTGTTTTCAGAGGGGAAAGGCCAGGGTTCGATCACTCAACTCTTTGCAGTGTTCTAGCAATCGCATTTTTCAACTACTGACTGCAAGTCAGTACTCGAGCCCCTTTTCCCCCAAGCAAAGCTCAGGCTCTTCAGAGGGCAAAAAAAGAGCATGCCAGATTTCAAGCTCCATCTCTTCCAATTTGCAAGCCAGGATTGATTTGGGTCAGTAAATGTAAACCAAAAGTTCCTATAACACACAGGCACGTTCCTCAGATCAAACAGGCCTGCGATTACACATCTCAAACCGCTTGAACTGGGTAATACTGAAAGGCTCCGTGATGGGAAACAAGTGACATGACAGTAAGCGGGAGAGGAGGAAGGCCTCCATGCACACAGCTCCATCCCACAGGTAGGTGGGCAGCGCTGGGTGAACCACCAAAGAGCACAGGCATTTCCTGGCAGCCCGTGTCATGGTCAGACCTTCCACTGAGCCGGCTCTGGTGAGTCAGCACGCGTTCACGCACTTACAGGGAGGGACTGCTGGATGCATCGATTCTCTGATGTTAACGCTGCACGGGCTAAGCCTCGGGAAATCACGTCCCTCAGACAGCGCAGTGCTGTTACCGGCCAACCTGCTCCAGGGCATTACCAGTGGAGGGCAAACCTCTAGAGGTGACTTGGTCTAAACGGCCCGGTGTGACACCATGTCCTGTCCAGAGGAACAATTGATTTATATTTAAAACTTATCCCAAGTCTTGAAAAGGGTTTAAGAGAGGCAGCTTCTTCTCTAATGCTCCCTGACACCCAGCCAAATCAGCAGGAGTTCCACCAAGTTAATAATTAGGGCTCACCAAAATCTGGTATCAAATCATTTCTCTTTTGGCAAAAAAAAAATAATAAAAAAGGTCTTTTGCTTCACCTTCTTTTGGTTGAAATTTTTTACTAAACGTAAAACTAGAGGATTTTGCTGAAAATTGATTTTTTTTTTCAGCTCAGAAGCTTTTGTAGAAACTGGAAACAACTTCTTTGGTGCAAAAGCACAACCTGTCAATGAGAAATTTTAGGGATTGTTTCCCCCCAGCTATCTGTATTTAACAATATTTTTATGACATCTTTCAGCTGTTTCTGACACTACCCATGTGCATTCACCTTGTATTCCTTTCCACCAGGACTGTCCATTATGGCCAAGGAAAGAATTTGTCTGTGATAGCAGGAAATAACGACTATCTGGTTTCACTTTCATTAAAAGTCTTATTTTTTGTGCACTTCATGCAGATTCTTCAGTTGGAGTTCCTTTATAATTTCCTTTTTACTTCATTTAAAAATGTGTAGGAGCATGGCGCTTGAGAGAAGTCTTAGGTGAACCATCCAGCAACCTTGAGTTTCACAGCTCTCAGGACAAGTAAAACACAACCCGTCCCTCGGACTTGCCCGAGTACCTCAACAGTGCCTGCAGATCTCAAAAAAGAAAATAATTTCCCGGTGCAACGCATCCATGGCCTTGTACAGAGATGTGAGTAACACGCTTGACTGTCATCTCAAGATGTTAGTGGACAGACACTTAAGACTGGACCAAAACACCAAAATGCTCCAAGCAAGCTACAGAGAAAATACCAGATTGTGATAGTTTTAAGTCTCCACTAATCCTTATTAGCTGAAGACATAAAAGGAAGATTCCTGCCACCTTTGTTCTCCCATCTCTCACATTTTCTTACAAAGGTTTGCAGCTTTCTTAGCTTGTGTGGTGGAACAGGGACGAAACTCATAAAGTTCTGCTAACTTATACCCCAAGAGATTATCACAGTTTTTTTTGCGAAGCAGGCAGCACAGCAGCGTTAGCAATTCATGTGGAGTAATACCCCGATGTTAAAAAAGCAGCTTTGGATTTTATGCTTTTAATATAGAAGCAGCAGACAAATTCACTTCAGAAGGTCCCTTTTGGACTTCCCAGACTTTCTCACAATATATGCTGACTGTATCTATGGCTGCACTGTAAACAAAATCCTTCATGTATCTGGGGAGGGGAAGGGGTAAAGGAATTACA